CTCATCCTCCATAATGACATTTAATGTTATAATTTTGGCATATAAAATAAGTTATAAATTCAAACAATAGGAAACCCTGATGGATCTATTAGTTTTCACCAAAACAAGACTCCACTAACAAACCTAAACATGGTAGCTATAGCTGAAAAACTTCTGCTGCCTGTTCAGATAAGAGTTATCACAAGATACTAGTCTTCATAAACAAAGAAACAACGTGCCCTACAGATTTGACAGCGTTCACTCTGTCTTCTCTGTTGGCATGGTTTTTCCTTGAACTGGGTATGGAATACTATTATTCAGCTATTCACTCCACTGGACTCCAGAACTCTCCCAGAATGGAGTTGACCTCACACGTGACTTCTGGGTGACACAGGGATTACCTCATTTGATCCCTTACCTTTCTGATGTCATAGCTGGGCACTCCCCACTGCTAAGTTTAATTACATTTTATACAGTTTTCTCCCCCCCCCCTCTCTCTCTCTCTCTCTCTCTCTCTGTGTGTGTGTGTGTGTGTAGACCAGTGTGCTACTAATTGCACCATCTTGGTCTGAAATTTGAAGATTGCATTACCCTTCACTGTTGGAAAAAGGAGCAGGATAGAGTAGGGACTGTAGCCCATCGTAGAACATTTGCCTAGCATGCATGCACCCTAGGCTTAATCCCTAGGGCAAGAGTTAAAAGGGGGGTGGGGTAGAAGTTGGTGTTTGTTTTGTTTTGTTTTGTTTTAGTACAGAGGAATAAACAATCACTATCTTGAGGTCAGCATGAACTTTCTTTTTTATACTGTCACCACCCAGCAGCCATTTCCTTAGGATTGCCAGCAGAAAAGATAGTACCCTAGTACCCGTATCTCCATTTCCTTAGGATTGCCAGCAGAAAAGATAGTACCCTAGTACCCGTATCTCCATTTTATTCATGAGTCAACTGAGGACTATTTTTAGGAATGTCTTTGTCTATGTTTATCAACATTATTTTGCCCAGCTTTAATAGGTTGCATTGTCTGCCATTTGTCCGTTTCTCCTAGATTGCCCAGCGTATGGGCGCATGGCTCGCATTACAGGCGTCTCCTCGTCCTGGGTTTCAGGGATACCTGATGCGCTGCTACCACCTTTGCCTTCAGTTTTACTTGGATCTTCTCTTCCTTTCTTTTCCTTACTTTGTTTCGGGTTTGTCAATTTTTAAATCTTTTTCTTTTAGTCTTTTGCTCTGTTATCACTTTCCTTTCTCTGATTTGGGAGTTAATTTCTCCTTTTTTTCAGAGACTTTGAAATGTATCATTAGGTTATTTACTTGACACCTGTTTTGGTGTCACTTTATTTTTTAAAATAAGCTTTCAGTGGTATGAACGGCCCTATTATAACTGCTTTAATTTATAGCCTACAAATTCTGGTGTGTTATGATATTTTATTTGACAGGATTTTCCCTACCTTCCTTCTGGTTTCTTCAGTGACCCACTCTCTGTTCAAAGGTGTTTGTTTAAGTACACTTCTTTACTTCTCCATTTATTTGTTTGTCGAGTGTGCATGCCACAGGTCATGAGCTGAGGTCAGAGGACAGCTTACAGGAGGAGCTGGTTCTCTCCTTCCCCCAGATGGGCCAGGGGTTGCCCTTCCCCACTGAAACATCTCCCTGGACTCTCAGAAGCTTTACTCAAGTTCCTGCGCTTATTACTTGCTGTTGTTCTTTTGCTGTTGATTTCTATCTTCATTCTGCTATGATTTCATAAGATGAAGGAATTTCAGCATGTTTTAGTAATGGATAGTTTGTAGATGTGTAGTGAGTCTATTTGGTCTGTAGTGTAATTTAACTCTGAGGTTCCTCTGTTGATATTTTCATCTGCATGATTTAGTGGTGAAATATTAGTCTCACCCACTTTTACTGAATTGGGGCTTCTCTTTCCCTTTCTATTGTGTGATGCTAATGTTTGATGCATATATATATGTACCATTATTAATCTTCTTGGTATATTGGTTTATGTAGTGATGTCCTTTGTCTCTCCTAATTTTGGCATGAGGTGTGTTTCGTCAGATAGGAATATGCAGCTGTCTCTCCCTCTTTGTTTCAGATTCCATTTGCTTGGAATATCATTTTCCATCCTTTCAGTTTCTCTGTTGTTTTGTTAATGAGATAAATTTCTTACAGGCGACAGATTCTTTGTTTTTTTAATCCACTCACCCCATCTCCTTTAATTCAAGAGTTGAGACCTTTATGCTCGGAGTTCTTATTGAAAGGTATTGTTGGCTGGTTTCATCCTGTTTTTCATCTGGTTCTAAATAATCTGTGTCCACTTCTTTCTCCCTTGTAAGAGGGTTGTCTACAAAATTAATCTTCGAGTCTGTTGTTCTATTACATTTGTACTTACAATTGTGCTTATCTTGCTTGCTTTTCTATCTGTAGGATTGATTCCTTTACGTACGTATCTTCCAAGATGCTGGCTTTGTAGTCCTGTCTTGTCTTTTCAGTGCATGCTTCTCTCCACTTCTCCATTGATTCTCACGGCACGTTGTTGCCCTAGCAGTCTGCTTCTCTTCTGTGCCCTACCGGCCTTTAGTTGCTATGGGAAAGCTGCTCTTGCTCTCCTGGGTTTGACTTTTAAAAGTAAGCGGTACTTCTGCAACACTCAGTGTTCATTCTTTGTTCTGTGCTTTTCAGTTTAATTGTAATGTGATATGGATAGGTTTCTTCTGGTTGTATACATCTGGATATCCACACCATTCCCAAGATCTGGAGGATTCCTGGCATTATTCTCCTAAATTGGTCACTTTGGGGCTCCTATGTCTTGTAGCCTGAACCCTGCCAGATGTTGAACAATACAGCACAAGAAAGGTTGTATTCACTCGAGACACACGTGGGTGCCACTGCTAGTCTCCATGAGCATCAGCGTTAAATGCTCGTGTGCTCCAGTCTGTGCCCCCATCCGTAGCAAGCATACAAGTCCCCAGGTCCCCTGATGCTCAGAACAAGCCATCCAACCAGTGAATTCTGTGACAGAAAGGAGCAGCCATATAAGCAAGTCCTGCTTTCAAACATGGTCTCCACAGTAAACCATATCCACCTGCTCTCTCTTGCTACAGATCGAGACACCTACACCAGACCTGCCACAGTTCCCCCTCTCGACTGTTTAAATGTCCTAAGGGCTTTCTTGCGGTGAACTCACCTCACTTCTCCATGACTCTGTGTGTTTATTTATCTTCTTTATACTCTTTGCTCTTTTGGGGACCCACCACCCAGCTCCAAAATAAATCATGCACACGGAAGCTTATTCTGGGCTTTTATCTTTTTCTATTTCTGTATACCTTTTTTACTTCTTTCTCCATGACTTACTGTGTAGCTGGGTAGCTGACCCCTGCAGTCTTCCTCTCCTCTCCTTTCTCTCTTCTCCATCTTTTTCTTCCCAGATTTGTCCTTCTTTTTATTTGTTTTCTCAGCCCAGCCCCGCCTATCCTTTCTTCTGCCTCACTATTGGCCATTCAGTTCTTTATTAGACCATCAGGTGTTTTAGGCAGGCAAAGTAACACAGCTTCACAGAGTTAAACAAATGCAGCATAAAAGAATGCAGCACATCTTTGCACCATTAAACAAATGTCCCACAGCAGAAACAAATGTAACCCATCTGAACATATTGCTCCACAGCACCATGGTTGTTTGCTCACCCAGCCAATGCAGCAGGGTGTTCCAGGGAACCCTACATTACAGTTGTCCATGTCTTCTGATCCCCAGAGTAATTAGTCCCTAACAACAGACCCTTCTCTAGACGATCGCTCATTACAACGCTTTTGTGGGGACTTTTTTTGAAGCTAGTTTGCTACTGCAGAGCGGGGGTCAGTTTCAGACTGAATCCCTATGGTGAATTTAAAGTTTCCCTGTAACTGTAACTGCTGGTCTTTTAGTACTGGGGAACCTGTCTACACTCCCCCAGTTAACATCACACTCGCCCTTCCAGGGAGCCGGACTTGACCTTTCCCTGTGCCCTATGGCTTTCCAGTTGTCTTTCTTACCCCGTTTCCTTGCACTCTTGTTTCTTCTTGTTCAAGTGGAGGATGCCCATTCTGCCTTCTTACCCTAAAGGATCTCATTGCTTTTTCTGAGTCATGCATGGAATGATGCTCTTCAGATAGGACATTCTTGTATTCAGTGAAAAACAATAACAGCAGATTCATTATGGTTTGTAGTATTGAACCTAGATCCAGCAAAGCTGCAGAGCTTACTACAAATCGCACTGACTTGAGGAAGCATTTCCAGTAGTGAAGTTCATCTGTAGTAGTGTCTAGGACACGCTGGACTCAGCTCCTGTCCTCCACTAGACCACTCTGGGGACAAAGAAGTAGGTAGGGGTCTTAGTTACAGTTTCTGTTGCTCTGAAAAGACACCACGACCACAACAACTCTTATAAAGGAAACATTTAATTGGGGTGACTCCTTGACAGTTCAGAGGTTTAGTCCATTATCATCACGGTGGGAAGCAAAGCAGCATTCTGGCAGACCTGGGGCTGGAGAAGTAGCTGAAAGTCCTTCATCTTGACTTGCTGGCAACAAGAAATGGTCTGAGACGCTGGGCATGGCTTGAGAATATATGAGACCTCAAAGCCTACCCCCACACTGACGCACTTCCTCCAACAAGGCCATAGGTATTGCAACCTCCAAGTAGTGCCACTCCCTATGAGCTTATAGGGGAGGGACCAATTATATTCCAGCTACCACACAGGAGGGCTTGGTTCTGGCCCTAGAGAAGGGAAATGTAGCATTCCCATGTTAATTCCCAGGACACAGGAGCAGCAGGCTGCAGTAGCGCTCTAGGGTACCCCACACTTCTTCCTCTGCAGTGGAGCAGCAGCATGATGGAGCCCTAAGGCCAAACCCGACAGTTTAGGGGACTGATTCAGGTTCTCATGTAGCCTATGTGTATGTACACGTGTAATGCAGTATCTTTTAGTATTTTGAAATCTTTGAATTGTGTAAACTAAAATTTTAATCATGTTTCCCAATTATGTGTATGTGCAGGAACTACTAAAGAATGAAACATACAGAGAAGAAATTAAAGCAAAAAGCAAAGAGTTTTATGAAAAAGATAAACTCGGTAAAGAAACCAGCGAGGAACTCTTGCCTCCACCTGCAATTCAGATTAAAGGACATGCCTCTGCTCCATATTTTGGGAAGGAAGAACCCTCAGTGGCTCCCACCAGCACTGGGAAAACTTTTCAGCCAGGATCCTGGATGCCAGAAGATGACAAAAGACAAAATCAATAAAAATACACTATGGTAAAGTCATTTCATTTATATGGATATGGCTATTGTAACAAATAAAACAAAGGTTAAAAGTTGATCACTTTGTATTTGTGATCCACAAAGCTTGAGTTTTTATGTGTATGTGACACTTGACTTACTCATCATTTCCCTCCTTGGATTACCATGCTGGCCAGTGTCATGCCACTGAATATTCAGGTACATGTAAGGTTCTTGGGTTCAAGGAACCACCACAGATAATGATAACAGTGGGCTACCAGAGCTGCTAACAAGTGAGATGGGGGAGGGGATTCATACTTCAAAAAGAAAACTTAGATAGAACATGTGACTCAAAGAAAATTTAATAAACAGTACTAGGTTTGATGGTGTGTGATGTAGGAAGTCATTTGAATCTCCTACATAATAAATAAGGTATAATTTTATTTATCTTGTGCCTTGGGTTCCTGTTTTGTTTTAGAGACAGGTTCTCACTGTATACACCACACTGGCCTCAAATTCAGAGATCCACCTGCCTCTGTTGGCACTTCAGGCCTCAACTGCCTTCCTACTTTTTAAAAACCACCTAGCTGTAGCAGGGTGGTGGTGGCCCAAGCCTTTAATCCCAGCACCCGGGAGGCTGCGACAGGAGGATCTCTGTGAGTTTGGAGGCCAGCCTGGTCTACGGAGCTAGTGCCAGGACAGACTCCAAAGCTACACAGAGAAGCCCTGTCTCAAAAAACAAAACAAAACAAAAAAACACCTAGCTGTGAAGCATTCAAAGTAGAATTTAAATATTAAATAATAGCTTGCCTGCCGTATTTCATTTCTTAATTAGCTATATTAGAACCCCTCACAGTTTACTATCTTTCAAGACAGACTTAAACCTATTTTAAGCTTTTAGTCTCAAGTGAAAATGTTCACATTAACAAAAGAACACTTTATTCCTTAAGTATATACTTAAGAGCTAAATTCGCTTTCTCTGCTAAAATGTATGTAGGATACTTATGCAATGATGGGCTTAGCACTATGCAAACTTTTAAAACACAGAAAAAATGCTTCTGATTCCAGGGTTTAATCATATGTCCTAGCTATACCTATATTTGAAGTATATCCACACAAATAACTATATGGAGTGAGCATATATATAGGAATACATACACATATGTACACACGTATGTATGTAACAAAGAAAAAGAGGCTACGAATTTGAAAGATGGCAGAGGTTGGAGTTTGTGGGGTATGGGAGGGTTTAGGAGGAGGATAGGGAAGGGTAATTATAATCTCAAAAAATAAAAAAATTAAGGAAATAAACATAATCCATTTTTAACCAACATGGAAAGCGCTCACTTATTTAATTAACCTTGAACCAATTACCATTATATTGATTTTAATTCTATTTCATTAAACATATTATTTAAAATAAACCTGAGTTTATTTAAACCAGACTTTTCAAACTGTTTATATTCTTTGAAAAAAGGCATGTAGAGACTGGAAATCGCTGAGACTTGCAGAAATTGTGAAGGAAAGAAACTTGTCTCAGTTTCATTTTCAAAACTCTGACCGTTATTGTTTGTTATTGTTTGAAAATGCAGACCTTGGCCTTAAATATTTATTCCAACTAAGTAATAGACCAGAGTGATCCTATATCCAGATGCAGACACTAAAGGAAACCATTCTGAAGTAGATTTCCTCTACCATTTTGGCAAAATGCTTAGACAGCCTCAGGATGGCTTGTTTCCAGCCATGAAAGGGTTAACAGCTGCATTTAGTTTTCAGAAATTCAGAAGTGACAAGCAGCCATTTCTTTTTAAAAGTATTCTGGATAACCATTTCTTCCAACAGTAAATGATAAAGGATGGAATTCCTGAAGAATCCCAAACCTCACAGTGGTCACTGCCTTGCACCCAGCACTCAACATGCCCCCCAGTATTTTAAATATTTGTTGATCTCGTGTATAAAGTCACTGTCTTGTTTGAGAAGGCTGGAGAAATAAGAGGTTACATCAAATAAAAAGTTGCCACATTAAGAGAAATTATGGAAAACCAGACTTTGTTAAATACATACCTTTAAATTACTAAAACCAAAGAAACCTCAGTTTTAGTGGGTAACTTAGTTTTTTATCTTCTGCTTCAGTACCTGAACTCCAACCCTAACAAAATATACTGACTTTCTGTGAAATTAGTGATCCCCAAGCTGTGGGCTCTGCAGACCCATGGAGACCAGTAAGGTTCTACCATATCATAATAGTACAGTACAATCGAGATCGCCAATCATAAGTAAATACTGAGTTAGTCCAGTGCCTAGAGCTGAAGTGGGAGATAACAGCACTCACGCGTCCTGGGAAACACTAGCCTGTGTGTAGCACAGTTAACTATGACTGAAATCCAGCATCTTTTGAAGCCTTAACCTGCATGACATACATAACTTAATCACTCCTCCCTCAGAAAGGACAAAAACTCAAGACCTCTTTATAAAAATGTATCAAATTTATTTCAACATTTAGTTTCATTTTTAGTAAGACTATTTGACAATTACTGTAACCTAAAATTCCATTATCAGAGGTACAGAAAACATTAATAAGCAGTTAAATACTGGGGTAAAGTTACTGGACCACGCATTTAGCAAAGTGTGTTTAGTCTCTGGCATCTGTTTCAGCACTGGAAGGTCCCTGGCTTCACCCTTTGGCCACTTTCCTGCAGTCCCTTCGTCACTGCTACACCCATGAAAACTTCTCCAAATTTAAGCCTTTATTGGCTTAAAGTATGACTTCATACACTTGAAACTTTAGTTTTCACGTTGAACCTGTTCATGAGTAAAAAGTAACAGGACATCGCTACAGTATTAGTTACAAACAGAATATAAACAAGAGTAGAGTCTATGTGATCAGCCAATTATCTGGTGAAATATTTCAGAGTTCTAGTGAGTGTGCGATGAGCGGAACCCAAGGTTTCAGAAGCACATGGCATTTCCACTGCTGACTTTAAGTCATGTTACTCGTCTTAGCAATTCACTTAAGAAAATGGCAGTGTTTGAAGTACCAAGGTTCTATCCATGGTCAAGACAATAAAAACTCTATATAAAATGAGATTTTAAACTGAAAAAAAAGTCTTGATAATTGCCAACTGTGGTAAAGTCTATGTAAGAATGCAAATAGCCATTACCATTAATAAAATTTTCTCTTGAGAAAAATCAGTGATGCTTCCATTCCAAAAAATAAGCAGATTTTAAAATAGTGATTAATATACTTTATCTCTTTTAAGCCAAAGTAAACTTTTTCACCTCAGAAGATAATCCTTTTACATTCCTAATATCCTCTGCCCAGAGAGAACCCCATTTTACCATTTACATAGGATTCATAGTTTAAAACCATTTTTCTCCACATGGTGCTTTTTACCTGAGTACATTAAGCTCCAAAATGGCAACTAACTTAATGTTAGTGTAAATTTTTACTACAGGTTAAGCAGACAAAACTGCTTGGGACCAGTAATGTTTTATTTTTCATATTTTGGAGGATTTCATACCTTGAGGATGGGATCCAAATCTAGTATTCAGTACAGTAATTTGTATTTCTCATGGCTTGACGATAATTTTATGTATTTTGAGCACACCTGTATTTTGACTACAACCCATCATAAAATAGGGTGTCAAATTTTCCACTCTTGGCATCACTTCTGAACACAGGTGTTAGATTTTACGGTGCTTTGAGTTTTGAATTTTTACATTACGTATGCTCCACCTGTACGATAAATGCTAACTTAAATACTTGTCAGTGGGTTCCAACAAACTTCTGTTTCCAAACCTAAAAGTTACTACAGTATTGAGGTCAGAAAACGACTCTTTACACAGTCAGATTTAATTTACTAAACAATATTATCATGAAATTGATGGAACCTTAATGAGTCCTTCCAACGCTGCAGAATTTTCCAGATGCTTTTTCTCTAGTTACAGAGTCTGTTCACTCCTTCAATCTTTTTTTAGTCGTTTAGCTTTTGCAATGTTTTCTTGACGTTTTTGTTTCTTCTTTTGCTCCTTCTCTCTGGCTTCAATCATCTTGGCCAATTTCCAGGACAGTACAGCACTAGCTAGAAACAGTGGCGTAAGGGCCAAGATGACTGTGGTGAGGAAGCCATATGGGTCCTTTGCAGCCCACTCCACAACATACTCAGCCCAAGCCTTTATATCAAGCATCTTCGTAGCAAGCAGGAAACTGGGGCTTGGAGAATGGAGGGAGGAAAAAAAAAAGAAACGGAGACTATATGGTTAATCCAATCCTGACAGTTATAACACATCCAATTAAACCAGAATTCCATTATCACTCATACTTTTTAAGTATTAGCTAGTAGTATTTTAATAAAGACTAATATCTCCATTTAGGGAAAAATAGTTCAAATACAGCACAGATAGTCATTTTATAGAAAGTAAAGCCCATTTGAACTGTGTCCTATGGACATTCTCCATGCCTCTTATGATACTCAAGACAAACTAGGAAGGAGCAGATGTACAAGGATCTTGAGTCTCACGTGCTCATTTCAGGAAAAAGCCAAATCCTGTCAATTGTTGACATACCATTAGTACTGCTAAGGACTAGTTAACAAAAGTACAAATCAAACTCATGTCTAATTTCTCAAGCCAGACCAGAGACATTCTCTCAGAGAAAGGGGAAGTAGATGGCTATTTCTAGAACATAGGTAAAGAAACCATGATGCTAAATCCACATTAGTATGTACAGCAAAAAAATAAAGAAAAGAAGAGAAGAAAAAAGGAAAGGACCGCTAGGTTACAGGCTTCCGATTAAGAGAGTGTCATCTGGTAAAAGAGATGGTGAGGACTTGAGGCATTTTCTATTTTGTCCCAGAGGCAAACTCTGTGTTCTTGTTTCTAGCAACCTGTACTCAATTACAGGCTGAATTACAATGCACGGAGAGGGAATGTTTACGCATATATACAGCCACCTAAAATCTCAAGCTAAGTGTTTTTAAAAACATCTACCTTATGCTGGAGTAGTGACTTCTAATTTTTCCTGGGAATAACAGTGAGCCAGTCACAATTCAGACGTTGGTTGCTGTCTTCTTTAGCTTGATCATACACTTTGGAAAGGTT